GAGCTTCCTCTTTACTCCCTTGCCTATCTGTGGCTCTCATCTGTGACACTGTCTACTGAAGTGGCCCAGCTTTCCACAGTGGAAGCAATTCTGACTTCCTTTATTACCTTTGGGTGACACTGTTTATGAGTAAGACTTCTTGTTCCTGACACAGGCCCTAAACTGGCAGCAATAGCTGCCCCAATAATTTTGGCCATTCTCTGGTCTTTACTCTTCCCTCTAGATCCTAGTTGTTAAAAGAGGTAAAAATTTAAACAAATGTATAACAAATAACTTTGAATATTATACTCTTTTAAGTTTAAGGCTAGAAATATTATCAACATGACCATTTTCAATCCAGAGATACATGTTCCAATGCAATTTCTGTTTTCCATAAATGGTTTTGGTAAGAATATTATAAATGTGGATACAGTTCCAACATTCCTCCTCAATGCCATGATCTAGCGTTATTAGCAAGAGCAGTTATAAATCCATTGCCTTCCTTATTCTAACTTAATTTTTTTAAATTTATTATTAATTTCCATAAAAATTTACAGAGACTTTGGATTTCCATTCATTCATTGTTGCACTTTTCTCCCCTCCCAACCCTCCCCCCCAGAACACTACCCTCTTGGAAAAGTAAAAGAAAAATTCCTTCATTGTTTTACAAACCCTCCACCAGGTGCACTCCACCATGTAGCCTTCGCTCTAGACTCCTGATGTTGTCCTGGTTATTCCCTGATCTGGTAATGTGTCCTATTTCTGATGCTGATCATACCAGCCATTCACTGTTATAGTTGCCAGGCTTGGATAACCAGCTCCAAAGACCTTGGCTTGGGTCACGTCCCGAGTGAAAATGAAGGGTTTCATTGGTGGCCAGTGCTTAAATTCTTTACTCAGGGGAAACCACTGCTGTCAGTTTCTTATGTATCTTCCATTACTATTTTATGGATTGACAAGCATTATATTATGTAAGCATATTCCTTTCCCCTCTCACTCATATAATTTCATACTATGTATAATATAGGCTTATAGTGATGTTTATGAAAAATAATTTTTTTCTTTTGGAATAATTTTATGTTTACCAAAACATTGTAAAAATTGTAGAGATTCTTCCATTGTCTTTATTCTGCTTCCTCTAATATTAATATCATGTATAACCTATGTAGAATGTCAAACCTCTTTAGTGATGCTGGAATAATACTAGTAGCTATATTACAGACTTTACTCAAATTCCACCAGTTTTTCAATTAAAGTCTTTTTTCATTCTAGGATCCAATCCAGGTTATATCATTACATTTGGCATGGTGTTTTTGTCCCCTACATAAAATGGATCTTGAAGATCTTCTCATATTAGTTAATATGCAGCTGCTTTATTCTCTGGATGAACTATAAAATGAATCCCTAGAAGTGGAACTGCAGAGTCAATGATTATTATAAATATTTAAAAATTACTAAGCCCCCTTCTGCCAAGGATATTCCTAGGCCGTTCTAACTGGGATCTGAGTATAGCACGTTTTTTAAGGATTGGCAACTGAACGAGGGTTATAAAAGTGTTCATTGTGTTGTAATCTCAAAGGCGAGCTGTTCAAATCCACCAGATGCTCTGCTGGAGAAGGAGGGGCAATCTCCTGTGTCAGTCGGATCCGACTTGATGGCTGACAAGAAAACAAAGGCAAACAAACAAAGAAACAACCCTAAAGGGAAAAAAAGTAAAGTGTTCAATGTTTTGCATATTCAAAAGCTTGTTTAAAAAAATTGGCACAGATATATATGGCATTGCCTGATTTATACGATTATGTTTTGGGTTTGACCTACATGTACTTGGTTTCTCTTAGGACCACTAGGGGGCTCTGTTAGAAGGGTTTTATAATTTATTTCAGTACATCCAAGGAAATGATGGTTTGGGATAATGCTTTAGAATCATAAACCAATTTAACTTGAGACTATCTTATCTGGATAATGGATAAAAGACCATCATACCCATTTTCCTTGTTTTTCCCATGATGAGGAGACTGAAGACAAAGATCTCATAGCTTGGGGGTGGGGGGTGGGGCAGGTGAGGAAAGCTGGAATTGAAAAAAACCAAAGCAAACCCCCAAAACAACCAACCAACCAAACAACCTTCCCCTGGGCTCCTTGTACAGAGTTCACGCGATTTCTTTATGCCTCAACTAAAAGATTCAGCTCTAGCGGCGCTTCCCCTTTCTGCTGTCACGTTTTAAAAACTTTTTAAAGGATTACATATATATATCTCATATATATTTTTATAGTATTTTAGGTGAAGGGAAAGAGCCCTGTTAGAGCTCAAGGTGTTGGGTAGTAACTGAAAGCTAAGTGGACAGATCAGAATTGACTCTGGGAAAGTGCAATAAAATGTAAGCTTCTCAATGCTGCTTTTTGTTATTCATTGCAAAATGTTCTCTTCAAAGCACCTCGCAGCATCATACGATATTATTATGAAATCTAGCAATCACTCTTTAATTGCTTTTCGAATTTTCCACTTAGAACATTTTACTGTTATCACCTATTCATTTAACATTTATTGAGAGTCAATTAATACCACATCCATTGCACTTTAGGCTTATCGTCCATCAGTTTCTGAGGCTACAAATCTTTATGAGTCAACTGCCCATATTTCTCTCTCGCAGGACTGGTGGAGTCAAACTGCTATCTTTAGCACTGTGCCACCAGGGCTTCTCTCCTTCCTTCCAGAAGCTTTTATTTCTCTAATTTCCACGTGTCTTACCTACATGCAGCTCTAGAGGGGGTGGGAGTGGAGCGAAAGAGATGAGCAGTCTTCTCTGTTTGATTTACAGCCTCTGAAAACTCGCTGGAGGGTCAGCTATAAATCAGCTCCGAGTGGCAGTACGTTTCTTCGGTTGTATTAGTATAGTGCTTCTCATACATTGGTCCCTGAACTCACAGCATCCCCATCATCTGGGAATTCTCTCTTGGGTTTTGTTTTTTTTTAAGAAATGCAAATTATCTGACTTCCTCCAGGGATGGGAGCCACCAATCTCTGTTTTAACAAGTTCTTCAAGGGATTTTGAGGCACTCTCATCTTTTCAGTTCCACACCTACCTATCTAAAGAAATCAACGATAACTATTTGTTGGTGTATGTTCTGCTGTATTCTCAACAACCAAATGTTGGGGTTTTCCTTTCTTTTTTTTTTAAAATCTGCATCCGACTTTTCTATCTCAGACTTCTCCACGGAGTATCCACTTCAAATGCACCTAATGGAATCCTAAAAGGCACATAACTTCAAGCAATGATTTCTAGTATCGATGGAAAGAACAGTGACACTTGATAGTGTCCCTGATTTTCAGAACAAAAACTGGCTGCAGTGGATTTTCTGGGGCCTTACCAAAAGAAAACGGGCCAGGACTGAGTTCTCTAGGATAGTGCTCTCAAAACACTAGGCACAGCCGGACGTGGCAATCGGTGGGCGAGGGCTTGGGTCTGGGCAGGCCAGGTCAGGGTAGGGGTCCGGGTGAGGCCGAGCCGCACGGGCCCGGCGGGGCAGCGTAGGCTCCAAGCTCCTTGGCCAGAGGCCAGCAACTGGAAGCCACGACCACAACAGGCCGATTCGCAGCGTCGCGGAGGAGCTGGAAGGGGACCCGAGAGGCCGGGAATGGGCTGCCCGGCGCGGAAACCGCACCCGCCCGGCCCCAGACGCCGGCGGGGCGGAGTCACGCGGCCGCAGCTCCGGCGGAGAGACGCGCCGCAGCGCGGCGCGGCGGCGCGGAGGAGGCAGAGCGCGGCTACAACGGGAGCGGCTGCGCCGCCCGGCCGGGTCAGCGTGATGCGCATGCGCGGACCCGGCGCCATTTTGGTGGCCGGGCGCGGAGGTGATTCTACACTGAGGAGAGCGCGGCGGCCGAGGTGGCAGTGGCAGCACTCGTGTGCTCGGGTCTGAATTGCCGAAGGCGGAGGCAGCGGAGGAAGAGGTGGCGGTGGTGGCGTTGGTCGTAGCGGTGGCGGAGGAGGCGGGTACGAATCAGCTGCGGGCGGAGACATGGCCAACATCGCGGTGCAGCGAATCAAGCGGGAGTTCAAGGAAGTGCTGAAGAGCGAGGAGGTCAGAAATGAACTCCCGGCCATCCCCCACCGCAGCCCAGGGTGGGAGGGCCCTTCCAGCGGCGACCCCGATATCCCCGGGAACCCTCGAGTGGCCCGCCCCGCGGCCGCCCGGCTGCCTGTGGGGAAGCAGTATCCTCCCTCTCCTCCTCCTTCTCTCCTCCTCCTCCTCCTCCTTTCCTCCTCCTCTTCCCGCCGCCGCCTTCCTCTCCCCGCCCGGGGCCCGGGGGCTGGACGGGCTCGCCGGCGGGAGGTCCGTGGACGGACGCGTTTTGGGGAGTAGGTTGGAGGCGAGGTGCACTTCTTGGGGGGCTGGGAGCCCCGGAGCCCCCCGAGGCGGCGGCTAGCGGGGTGTCTGCGGATGGGGAGGGTGCAGGCCGAGCCCGAGAAAACCCGGGAAGTGGCATGGGGGAAGGGGAAAGGTGGTAACCGGATCCGCCGGGCGCTGCTCCGCGGCCCACACTGGGAGGGTATCCTGGGCTATTGCCCGTCGGGCCTTCCCTTCGAGCGCCTCGCTGCTGGAGAGGCCAGAGGGAGAGGCATTCTGAGTTACCCCGCTCACTTGGGGTGCTGGGGGAGACAATGCTTTTTGCTTACTCTCACTCTTTTTTTTTTTTTTTTTAAGTTGGGAGGGAGGGGAACTGAAGGCATTGTCACCTGAAATAGGAATTCCAAATGCAATGATTATCTCATTAACACATGCACCTCCATTTCCAGACCTCCTCCTCTCTTGACATCTGAAGGTTTCTGGCTGGGTAGAGAGAGGCGGGTAGTCTGGTGTCTGAAAGGCATTGGAGTATTCTTCGCAGGGAACGAATAGTATAGGCTGGATGAGCAGCTTATTTCAGAATGCTGTTTACAAGTTGCCAATCAGTCTCCTAAGACAATGCCTCTGTTGACTCTGCTGGTGGTGTCCCTTGAAACTTCACTGTGATGTCCCACATAGTAAAACCCTCAGTTGTACTTCTGAAAATGAGCCCTATTAAAAATCAGAGAATTCAGAAACACACGAAAGAAAACCCAAGGGATTTCACCAGGTTAATGGTGTATGTTGTTATTTAGGTGAGTAGAAGGTATATCTTGACATACTTCCAAACGGAGTAAAAGAAAAAAAAACCCCTCAAGTTGCTCTTGAGTCCTACAGAGTCTTAGACACTTTAGTGCTGCTCACAATTATTTATATAAGAGATTGAAAACGATTAAAGTATGATGCCAGTAGTTTCTTATAGCTCAGTCAACATGAATGCTCTATTTTCCCAACTTAAATTTAACCAATGAAGATCAAAAAACAATACTGAGAAGGATTATTTTTTTCACAGATCAGTGTTGACTTACATTGTTACTATGTGTATCCCCCCCATATTGGAACTTTAATAATGCACATTACTATGTTTTAAAAAAATTCAGCGTTCCAGGTAGATGATGAGTAATTATTGACGCAAACCTGATAGCGCTTGGCCTTTATTTGTGACACTAAGTCTGTAGTGATCATGTATTTTTCTAGGTAGACATGGAAAAAAGAATGATTTAAAATCACTTAAAAATGACAAATACTGGCAGAGATAGTGAATGTAGATTGTATATAAGTAATGATCTGTTTTACAGAGAATGTGTGTGAACCCTGACCTGCATACTTGTTCAAATGCCAGAACTCTGAATGGAAGGATGACTTTGTAGTTTTGTGGTTCAGTGTAGAAACAGTCACAAATATCTGAACTGGTATACAGTAAAACAGTGACTTTACTTAATGAGGTTTATTCCAGTATAGTTGACATACACTAATGAGAAATGGTAGCTGATATTGCCCAAAATATATTATTGTAAGGTTGTACCAAACCTTACTATCAACAGACTTTCTACCGTGATTTTCTTACTAGTTAGGTTAACAGAACAACAAGAACAAGAAAATTACATTGCTGTAGTAGTGTCTACTTTTAACATAATATTTCTTATATAAGGGATTTTCATAAGATTGTCATAGTGTTTGGCAGAAGAGTACAGGACAAGCAAACAGATGAGTTGGGGTTTGGTGTTTTTTTTTTTTTAATTTTGTTTTTTTACAACAATGCCCTCGTAAATCTGAAAGGAAACCTCTTCCAGGAAAGTAAGTGCAAAGAGCGTTTAGGGAGGTGCCAGATGGTTTGATCTTGAATAAATGTTATTTTCGCCACTGTTTTTATATTGATTATATTACTCCCTTATTGAAGGACTTGTAGTCTAGTCCCACATATTTCATTTTTTACTTTTAAATGAGTATTTTTAGGAGCTGGTCAGGTAATCAGTTATTTATCCTTGCTTATCTTCAATTACCAAAACATAATTCATATACTTAAGTTAACTAAGATGATTGATTAATGTAAAAATTTTCATTTCCCCCCCTTTTTTAAAATGCCTTTTAAGTGCCATTTGAGGATTACTGATGTTTGCAGAATTGTAATAATAATGCATTTACAGAGTATGTTTTTATAAAATATTACCTCTAAGGTAAATCTGAAAAAACAAAGATTCAAGCTAGTGTGTAGATGACAGCAGTTATGTCAAATGGAGGAAGAAATAGGTGTATTTGCTTATGCATGAAAAGATTTATGAGAAATTTCTAACATTAGTTGGCCCTGTGGAATGAATTGGGTATTTGGGACTTAAGAATGTAGATTTGTTTTTCTTTCTTTTTTCATTTTGACTGGTGCCAATATGTTATTTACTTGGGATAAAACTAAAACCAGACTACTGCTATTGAGTTGGCTGGTCCCTGTTCATAACAGTTTTCAAGGCTGTAAATCTTTACAGGAGATGGGCCATCTTCCTGGAAACAACTGGTGGATTTGAATTGCTAATTTTCTGTTAGCAGGCCCCATTGCCAAACCAGTCACATATAGTTCAAATCCACCACTTACTCTTTAGGAGAAAGATGAATAGTCTCTTCCCATGCATTTTACTGCCTCTGTAAATCCACTGAGTTATGATAAGAGTACCTGTGATTAAATTCTTACTCAAAAGTAAACAACAACCTATCACCAGGGCTCCTTTACTCAGAATGTTGATTGAGCACGACTCATAGTGACACTATGAACACACAACATCTGAAGCCTTTCTAGAACTGTAATTGTTTCTCAAAGCATCGAATTTCCAGAGGCATGTTGTTTAGGAAGTGGATGCTGTTCCAGTTATTCAGATTAAATGGTAATAAATAAAAGCATGATCTAAACCTTCATTTTTCTTTAAATCTGTCCTTTTTGAAAATAAGTGAAAATTTATTCATCTAACAATACTTAGTATTTTTAAATTATACTGTGAATCTGCCATTGAATTGGAACCAACCCGCCTGGTTTTCAGAGTCTAAATCACACAGGAGATTACCTTTCTTGCTCTTAAAGAGAAGAAGGGAATAAAAATAAAATAGAGAAGTTAGGTGAAGGGAAAGGTAGTATACATTTTGAGCAGGCATTGTAATTGACTACATTAATCAGTTGTAACTAGTTAGAAAACAATGTATGCTGGAATGATATTTTAAGTACAGTGTTATAAGACTAAATGTGTATGAGTGATGGAATGAGATTGTTAATTACAATGTTATAAAACACAATGTAGGAATGATTGAATGAAAAACTTGTAAAAGAAATATATGGAGTTATATGTATAAAAATGTTAAGTATACAGAATGGATTTATAGTAAATAATAGTAAAATTGAATTACATACGTTTGAAGTAGATTGTTAATAGTGAGGATTTAACAAAAATAATATTTACTATCAATTATTATTTCTAATAGCTAGCTGCCACTTCATTTTTATGTAATTGCTATTTTTTAAAAACTGGTCTCTGAATTAAGAATTCCTGTTTGTTAGATAGGGAAACCCCCACCCCCACCACACCCCCCCAGTTCTGAGATATGAAAAGATTTGTCTGCCACATAGTATTGGAGTTTGCATCCTAATCTGTTGCCACACTGTCATGACTTGCTATTGATAGATGTGTTCTTAATTATTTAAAAATAATTGGATTTGTTTGTATTGCTCGTTAGGATTTAAATACAACCTGGCCAAAAAAAAAAATGAATCTTTGTAATTATGAAGTCCTAGTGGAGTCAGAGATTTAAATGTTGAGCTACTCACCTCGTCAAAACTACCCACTACTCCAAGGGGAAAAAATAAGGGAGACTTCTGTTATGAGATACATATGTATATAGCCTTGGAAACCTGATGGAGAGAGAGTTCATATTGGCTGGGATGGATTCAATGGCAGTGGGGTTGGTTTTGATTTTTAAAATTAGTAATATGCCACTCACTTGTATTTTCCTGCACAGAATATTTTTAAATGTTAAGATGAATTAATAGAAATGCCTTAAGTCAACGTAAATTATTTGTCTAAAACTATATGGATTGTTTTGTTTTGTTTTCCTGTTGTGTGCCTTCAAATTGGATCTGACTGCCTCTCCTTCTCCAGCTGAGCATCTGATGGATTCAAACTGCAGGCCTTTGGGATTGCAGCGCCGCTTCTTGCCACTAGGCCACCAGAGCTCCCCATATGGTGTTTTTTTGGGGGGGGTTGGTGTTTTTTTTTGTAGCATAGCTGCATTTTGGCAACATGTACTAGTAGAAGATGTTTAAATCTGTGGCATAAATAAACATTGCTGTTTGAATTTAAAATTGTAAACATCAGACACAAATTATGTTTGCATCAAAGATTATTTTGTGTATAATTTTAAATTTTGCAAATTTAATATAAATAGAAGACTTGATTTCTGTAGATTCTGTTTTCCTCATTCTCAGGACTGGACATTTTGAGTGGGTAGGTTTTTGTGGGTGGCTCTCTTGCACGGTAGGATGTTTAAGGAGCATCCCTGACCTCTACCCACTAGATGCCAATAGCATTACCAATTCTACTCCACCCCTCTTGTGACAATCAGCAGTCTCTGGACATTGCTAGTTGTTGAGAACCACTTGAATATATCTGGAAGAATATTTAAATCTGTATTTAAATATGCATATGAGATGAATTGTG